CTGGACTGAAAAAATCATTAAATTGTTTCACGGTCTATTAAAATTCGAAAAGTAACTCATTTTGTCATTAAACTAATCTGATTGATCCTGAAGCGTTATTAATTGCTTTTAGTCCATATGTAAAGAAATATGCCGATTTTCAATTTTTAGTTCCAACGAAGCTAAACACGAAAAACGCACATAGGCAAAAATGTTTTCGATTTATAGATCTAAAATCAATCAATTGTAGGACTTCACTGAAATTGAAAATATTATGTCAATTGCATAAAATAAAGACCCTTCCGATGACAAATGAGCTTGCCAAATTTTGTCGAAATTAGAGAAAAGGTTTTTGTGCAATTAATTAGAACCCCACTATTAACTTTGAAACACATAGGTAAAACTAACCAAAAAAAGCTCATCCAATATTACAGATTCAAATATTTTAAGAAAATAATTTAAAATCGATATTGGACGATAATTTGTTACTTCATTTTTTCAGGCCAGATTTCAAAATCAGTATAATTTTTGAAGTTGTTGAAGACAAGTCGTAAAAATGATGAAAAACAGTTTTGTCAAACTTGGACAGGACTTTGTAAACAGAAAAGGCACTCTATTCGATCCTGGATCCTTTTTCGTATCAAGTGATTTAACTTTCTTTTCAATTACTTCCATGAACTTTCTCTATTTGAAAATATTGTTGCGGTTTTGAACTAATAACTCTGGTACTTGTGCTGGCTTTTCAAAGACACTTTCAAGATAGCTAGTAAACACGCCACAGATTTTTTTAAAATGACGCTGCGACCAAAATGAGAAAAGTTTTAGTACAAACATCTTTTCAACTCTTCTGTCACCATACTTTATTATCTGTTATCATCGCGTGGAACATGTCGCAACTATTTGTAGTTTTTTGCAACTTGCAATTTAAGTTTTAGCTTTGGCTGTTCATCGCTTCTGATGCTTAGATATTTCTTTTGTTGAATGATGATTTTCCTATTGTATAGTTCTCCCTTAGAGAGTCCAGTCCCTTTTAATTAAGGTATCCTCCCAGGTTTTTGGAAGTACGTCACCATTAATCGAAAAAATTATCCGAATTATAGTGGCAGTCGTGGCCAATAGCATCAAAAAAACTACAAATGTCACAAATTTTTGACTCACAGTCTGAAGATTTGTCCACTGAAGAGTATGTAAGATTTTTTGCCAGAAAGAAATCATGATATGTGGGTTAAGGTCAGCGTCATTGTAAGTTAGGCTGCTATAAGAAGACAAGAAGAACAAGACAAGAAGAAGTAATAAAAACTAATCAATTTTTTATCACGACTGAGGGAATACAGGAAGAGAGCATAATAATAATGATAAAATAATAATCACGAAATGTGGGTTAAAATCAGCATCATTATGAGCTGACTGCTATAAGACAAAACATTATTAGAAAAACTAACCAAAACTAATTAACTTTTGTATCACGACTGAGGCAATACAGGGACAGAAGAGAAAAATAATAAATGGAATTGGAAGTAGTAATCATGGGTCAACAACATGTTTGGCCACAAAGACCCAGAAAATCAAAAGTGAAGTCACCAGTTCCATCAAAATCACTATCCGCAAGCTTCGTCAATATAGATAAAGACGAACCCACTAGCAAGAGAATATGTGCCAGAAATGCCTGTACTGGCATGTGTCTAGATTGTCGGGCGTATACAAAGCTTGTTTAAACTGCAATCATCAGTTCCGTTTGAGAAAGTTAAATTAAAAAACTCAAAAATATTGGTTTAAGTACTTTGTCACCAATTAATAGTGATAGTAAGACCATTTATTCTAATGATTAAGCATACGACTTTAGCTTTACTCTAATCTATTGTATTCCAAATAACTAAAAAAATAATTTTTAGACTACTTTAACGTTGAACTGATTCATGAATTAATTTAAGAAGTGGCTCTATAAAAAAAATTGATAAGTATAATGCACAATTACGATACGAAATATTAGTAAACAAATTCATCAAGTGCTTCACAAATTTATTGCCGAAATTGAACTAGAAATAAAAAATATTCATTAACGCATATCGAAACTTTGTTTTCTCCATCTGGGCCTTCATACGACTCAGCATATTAACAAAAGTGTGATTAGACATTCTCAAAAACTGTTTAAACTTTCCAGAGTCCTTTTTAAACTCTTTCTTGACAAATTTTAACACCGCTTTTGTAATCCTTTTATAGTTATTATTTTTCTGTAGAACATACTGGGGCATAAATATTTCAACTAAATATGAAATATTTTAAATCAACAAAATATAGTTAAGAAACAAGATCCAATATAACAGCTAAAATGTATGAGTTGGTTGAACTATTAAATAACACTTTGAAGCATCAAATCAAGCGATTATGTTTTGTCGACCAACGGAGCTTACCGAGTTAAGCCAAAAAGAATAATTCAGAATGCTCTCTGACGAGAAAAAACCATTTTAGTTTTCGTTTGTTTTAAAGCTGGACAGGAACTCGTGACAATTCTTGCATTTTAAACCTTTATATTTATAATTTTCTGACCAGACACCACGTGTATAATAGTCCATAGTGGGGACGTTGATTATAAAATTTACCTTTCAATGTCGTTAATAGGTGTTCTGCTTGTATCGAACCCAAAGTCATGAGTATATTAAATTTCACAGTATCTTTGGAACTCTACCTGAACATTTTCTTCTACTCGTGGCCTATTGACGATTAAAATCAAAAAAATTAATATATATTTATATATAAATATTTATTGATTCTACGGTGACACAATTATGTTTAACCGAATATTATTATTATATATAAAATAATAATGTTGCACACTTCTGTAAAGGCGTCCCTAGCGGGTACAAAATTTTACACCTGAAAAAGAAAGAAGACGCAGTATAACAATAAAATAACTATGAAAATAAATAAAACTTCTTAATGGCAGTTGATTTGCATTGAAAATACTATTCCTTTGGATTTTCAGCTAGTGGCGCTAAAAGCAACACGTTATTTTTCTATGCATCAATGTTGTTGGATTTTTTATCGCTATACCCCTCTCTAGTTAAATGGGTGTGAATGTCTGGGAAAAAGTTCCATTTCATAACAACGAATTTGATGTGATGGAAGACTACATGTCATTATCTCGGGACGTCTTTGTTACCTCTTTAATATATTGCGTTGCTGTAGAAATATGACGATTTTATGAAAATCGGTATTTAAATGTATCAAAAAAATTGCAAAGATCTCTTGAGACGTGGACCTAATGATTTTCCCAACATCAATCACTTTACAGGTCTTCCCATCTTGTCTAATTTTTTTTCCAAAAAATATAAACATTTCGCAGTGCTACATTCACAAATGAAGTTACTACAAAGGAATGTCGAAGTTATTGTCAGTTGCCACTGAATTTATTTAAATTATTAAAACTCTTTTCATGTTTGGTGCATCAATGTAAAGAAAACCAATTCGAAAACTTTTTTAAGTAAAAAGGTGTAATTTGTTCAAGTTCTTCGAGAAAAGCTGCATCGTGAAATATAAAGAAAATATTTACTTGTAGATGCACATCTACTGTCTTGTATCGTGTTGACTCTGCCTTGGAAAAAGTCTTAGCTTTGTACCCCATTTTTATCATTCTATTCAACAACTAAAAAGTATTAAGTTAAATGCAGACGACATTATAGTTAGTTTCCAAGTTTCCGAAAACCTCCCTGCAGAGTTTCTCATATTAATAAAAAAAATAGATTTGGGATGTAACAAACAAATTTACGAACAAATATTAGGAACATCGGATCCGCGATTTACCATGCATCACAAATATTTTGTGTTACATTTTGAAAAACTTGGCACTGATAAGTTACACCTAAAAATAAAATGTGGACGAACTATTTAACCTCCATACATACAAACATCAATTTCAAAATCGAATTCGAAAATAACAACACCCTTCACTTTATAGACGTTTTTATTAATCGAAAACCAGCTTTAACCTTGGGTCATTTCGTCTATAGAAAACCGACTCATACGGATCGATACGTAAAAAACGTAAAAATCATCCATGTTCAATTCAGTTCTTCTCACCAACAATTTCCATTATCAAGATATCAGACGGCCTATTAAAAAATACACTTCAACAAAACCACTTACAGAATGCAACTCCCGTTTGCCATTGAAATATTTTAAAAATGTCAGCGATCTCTTGTCCTATAATCTCCCGATCTCTGCGATCGGTTAAAGGTAAAATTTTGCGTGAGACAGCATACCGTGAAACTGCGGCAAAGACTAAATCGAAGAAACAGATCCAAAAATACCAGAGATCACTCAGAATTCGAGAAATAATTACATCAGCGGTTTCTGAACATCGTCACGAAACAGGAAGCCTCGTTTTATGCGACAATACCAAATACTTGCCTCTAACCCTCTCTTTTATTCAAGAAAAAATTGTGAATTTATCGCAATAATCAAACAGCCCAATAATATAAACCGAGGTACAGGTGTCATCCGCGAAGCAATTAAAACTCTCCCTACCATTCGACCAGGCCGGTATTTAAGGTGCGTGCAGAACAATCATCAAATCAGTTTCAGACAATGCTCTAAAGAAGTCACGAGCATCCTTCAAAAATAATTATTAGCACGAATAAACATCACAAACAAAACAAAATTTTCAAAATAAAGTTTAAAAGTAACCTGCAAATGTACATAAAAATTACAAATTGGCTTGTCCTAGAAATTTTTACAATTTATTCAGGTGCATTGGACAATGAAGGTTTTCTTAATATTCAGACACAAATATATTAATTACATTAATTAATTAACACTTCTCGCAGCTTAAGGTTTTATTATAAATTTATAAGAAACCTTAACTTTTATAATATTTTTTTTTACTTTTGTAAGAGGTCTAATAACTAACCAAAATGGTTTTATAATATTATAAAGGTTTCTTATAATAATAATGTCAGACTTTAGCTAAGCCTCAATTTTACGAATGAATTAAGTAACGTTTCCGTATCATACACATCAGCAATTTACATACCAGTTCTGGCAACGATCCAATCCAAATACGAAGTAACCCTGGTGTTAATTGAGGGACTGTCGATATTGCAGTCGAGCCCGTGGGATATGATCCCGATAAGATGCAACTTTTGAGTGCTCGGATCCATCCACAGCAACGGGCCTCCAGAATCACCAGCGCACTCGCGATGTCTCAGAGTAAATGTACATATATGATTGTTGTTGATATTCTCAGTCTGGTCCCGGGCGCACTGCTGGTTTGAAATTACAGTGAGACTTGTCTTCCTTAGCACGTCCGATTGGCTATCGGAAACGTTCAGGCTACCCCATCCTAATACAGTAACAAACGTAAAACGAGATACAAAGTTACTTATTCATAGAGGTACTACAAAATATCCGTATATAACGTGAGCAAAGAAAAACTGAAAATAGAAAACAAAGAAACTAAAACTAAATTCTATGGGATTATTAACCTCAACCGCCTCTTAATATCCCCAAAAACGTTGGTCGAACATGTCAAGTTCTACGTGGAAAGTGACCATACCGTCCATAAAATTTATAATACATACTAGGAGTATACTATTGAACTAATTTTTAAACTTCAAAACTAGCGGCATCAATTATTGATAGGGCAGATGTACCTGATCGAAAATCCTTCACCAAACTGTACACGAAATCAAGCATGGCTAACGTAACGGTTTTATCAATGTGGGCTTCCAATATAAATTTAGGATTTAAATAATTCTAAGGGTTTTTAATATCATCAACCAAATGTATTCTGTCACCCCAAAGAAAAGTTCTTTACTTTACTATGTTAATTTTTCAAAGAAACTTCCTTAGACTACTGTAATACTGTTTACAAATCTTGTGGGTTCTTCCTGCGCCGGTTGTTGTTGAGTCGAACTTGGTAACGTTTCGCCAATCATCCTGTTGGCTTCTTTAGATCTTAACTGAAATTGGCTTGTATTTTACTCTGCACCTGTTTATTATTTGCTGAGAAGCGGAGCTAAATGAGGGGCATAAACATCGTCTCGGGTGACTGATTCACATAGAAACGTGGAGGTATCTGAGTCGTGATAGATTTCTATAGAGTCTGGGAATTTTCGTTGGTAGAACGGATTACATGCAAGAATTTTAATTTATCGAATAAAATTTTATTCCCGGTTTCGTGATTGTGTTCGGCAACTGGTGATGAGTTTATTTGTCTTAGTCTTAAGGCTCTTTCATAATCTTTGAGCCTAGTTGATATTTTTCGTCCGTTCTCTCCAATGTATTCTTTGCCGCATTTGTATGGAATGCTGTAAACTCCTGCCATCTCAAATGGAATTTTGTCGATGTTGAGACATTTTCGAACTCCTCGCTTTTGGAAGGTTATGGTGAAGTGTATTTTGTAATGGAACGCTTAAAATCTTTAATGTAGAAATTGTTAGAGAGAAGAGGAGAGGTAAGGTGTTTTAATGCTGGGTGTAGTCACTCGGGTTGAAATAGTTTTACGGATCTGTAAACAAGCGACTTGATAACCCATGATTTTTAGGCCGGATGCTGATGTTAGTTCTGATTTTCTATTGATAAGAATATCTATGAATGGGAGGTTGTTATTAGTTTCTAATTCAATGGTAAAACGTATGTTAGGGTGTATAGAGTTTAAATGTCTAAGAAAATCTACTAGGGAATCTTGAACATGAGGCCAAATAACAAAAGTATCATCGACCGTAACGTATCCATAATTTTGGTTTTAGATGGAAGGTGTGATGGAGAACCCGTAGCTGTTCCTGACGTTTGACCGTTTTAAGAAAAATATGTTCCAGACAAGTATTTTTCAATTAAGATGAGAAGTAAGCAGTAATATAATATTTCTATGCAGAGTATTGACAGAGATCTTTATAAATTTCAATGGTTTTACAGTTTTTTTTTTTAATTTGAACCAACCACCTGCAGCCAATAGAATGGGGTGAATTGATTGTTTGTCAATGTCAAAAGAAGTAAATTTAAAGTATGTAATAGCTACTGTCACTCAATCTTTGAAGAATGCAACACAAACAAAAAAAATGGTACAAATTGGTACTTTAATTGACGTTTGATTTTGAAATAATAATTTCAATTCGAAGTCAACCGACCTATCGAGTTGTTGTGCAATATTAGATTTTTCACGTATTCTGGTTATCAATCCATTTATAAAATATTTTAAATTGATCATGTTCATCTAGGCATTGTTTACTATGCAAGTTATAGTCCATATCTTCTATTTGGCAATTCAAAAATATGTATTTTAAGAAGAAATGATACTAAAATATTTTTCGGAAAATGACTTGGAGAGAAACAACATTTTTAATAATTCCAAAAACAATACTGTTAAAGTCACTTTCAAATTTTTTAGATCTAAACTACAGCGTTTTTGATTGTAGAAACTTACCCAATGCCGTAACAAGTTGACCAACGAAATCGGAGGTTTTGTACCGAAATGGTAAGCATATGGGACCGATATATAAACTAAACACTATTTGGTTTTGAGTTTGAATGATCGCGATGTCAGCTATCACCGTATTAATTAGACTGAAGTTGGGGAAGATTTCGTAGGTGTTAACATTATAAATCTTCGAATAAGGGGTGGTTCCTAAAACGAAAATTATTCTTATAAATATAGGTCGGTCGTTCAATCTCCTAACTTTATCTCGCACTTTTTAAAAAACAATAAGATAATTCAAGATTTAAATATACAGATTAAACATAAATATGGTCGCAAGATATTTGAGAAAGAAAGAAAAGGTTTAATAACAACTTAATGCTGCCATTTAAGCCGCTCCTCACTACGTTGTCATTCAATTTAAAATCATAAAATCAGTACAGATTCGGATTCTGTGCCATAAAAATATCAGGTTTTGCCCGAAATTTGATTCTGAATTCTCGGTAGCTCGTGCTGTAACCTCCAGGCCATTTATCTATCATGTTTGTCAAGAAATTCTCTAAAATCCCAATGATGCATTCATCATTCGTTACCAAAGTGTCACTTTAAAATGTCAGCTTCATTAAACACTGTCGCGGGTCAATTCGAGCGTTTGCATTTCTCTAGATCGGGAACGATCAAATTGTTTTCGGTAGATTTAAAAACTGTTTAAATTTACAATGGTTATAATTGCCGGTGTTCGTAACAATAAGACAAAAAGTAGGTTACTAAATTATTACAATAGGCACATATTCCTTTTCTCAAGACATGCAGAACGACAGGTATTACAATTCTTACACAAAATGTTAATATATCAAAAATGGTATATACCCCCTTTGACATTTCATTTAATTTATAAATGAATAAGTGCAAAATTAGACATTTTGGATTAGGGAGTGGAAAAAGATGTTGAAGCTAACAATAAAGTCGGATTTTTGACAAATAGAATAAATCGTCTTTTTTGCTAATACAGTGCCATTAACCGAGAAACACCCTACCACCGTTTTCATGGAATGAGGGTCTCGTTAGGTGTTATGAAACAGTTTTATAATTCTTCAGGTGTTCCACCGTTTTCATACTTTTTGGGCACTTGGTATAGCTTTAAACAAACGAGGCCATTAATAGTTCTTAAGAAATTGAGCTTTTCATATTTTAAATACAACGTTAAATATTGCAATTGTAATTGTAAACTTGGATTTAGTTTTATTCAAAAAAATTTAACATTTTATTGATTTAAAATTCTGGACATGGATAATAGAATTGACCACTTAAAACAGATTTGACTAGTTACTATCCCGAAACAGATGAAATCCACTTTAGTGTAAGTATCTACGATCCTCGTTATTAACATTAAATTTAATGCAGTTAGCTAGACTTATGATACAGGGTAAATCAAAAATGCATAAGGCCATCATTATAAAAAAATAAATATGGCGGGAAGAACTACAAACCACGAGGAAAACACAATTTGGAAAAATTGAATTTGTGGGTTTATTTTTTTTAATAAAAAAATTCGGTGGTGTCCATTTGAGAGTCATAGCTCCGTAGGTTGCGCCTATAGAAAAAAAATTTTTTTCGTGCCTTATCTAAATCTCAGAGACTTTCCCGCACACCCGGTATAATTTGGATTCGGGAGTAGAAAGAGAAAAGTAGAATTCGGGAGTAGAGGAGAGGGAGTAGCAACGACGTTTACTTAATGTTTGTCGAATGAAACCCACTAAGCGGATATGGAAATATCGATCCCTATAGACAAATCGATACTTTATATTTTGATCGCAATACGCGCGAGATTTTACGTGAAACTGACGATATTGCATTACCTGAAGTGATGTTGTGCCCGCCCACTAAAACCGAAAACGTGCTGCGATCTCTATTGTAGACGCAATGACCGGCGGTCAACACGAAAAATTCAGAGATTATGCTAGCCCCGCAAATTATGATGAAAGGGTTCAGATTTACCAGCCCCGCCATCGAAGGGTACTCGTTGACGCCCGTTTCTTGTCCTCCAAGGATTGTAGCCTAAAAAACGTACGTTTTGCCATGTGAAATTCGAAATTTCATCGGCATGGCCTACAATAAATTCAATGAAATATAAAACGTTTCTAGAACGGCGGGAAGAAGTGCAATTTAATTTTGCTGCTGGAAAAGCTATTCGGAAGAATGTGAACCAATCAGTAATGGCATTTAAATTTAAACAGCTATATTTCAATCCAAAGAAGATTGTTGCGTAAAAATTGAGCAGGTGTTTGGCAGGGTAATTCATTTTATTATTCAAAATAAAACAATCAACCTTAATTACTTTTTCAAAAATAGAAGTGTTTTCTAAAGTTGCAGCTATATATACGTTCTTTTCCTACTTTAGTTTGCAAAATAGAAAGTGCGTTAAATAAGTGTTTAATTTTATTTATAATAGGGTCAATAATTTTTAATTTTGAGAAACTCGAATTTTCGAAATCTTGTAAAATTATTAGAACTTCATATTTGTTAATGACCTATACCAATACATCTTTATTAAACATTGAAATCTCTCTATAAGCTGATTTTTAAACACTTAGACCTATTTGATTAATTTCCTATTCTAGTTGTTTGTCATTTTGACACACTTGCTGGAAGGTTTGGTTAAATTTCTCAAGAAAGATAAGAGCTAAAGAATTAAGGAAGCGGCGTAAACATCTAGTCGTGTTGCTGTCAGCTAGAAACAAATAATAGACCGGTATATACGGGTTACAAATAAAATTTATTGATTTATGGATTATATATTTACGTCTCAGTATAAATTCATAGAGTCAAAAAGACGATGCCTGATTGACATAATTTTTTCAATACATTCTCTTTTGTTCAGGAAATTTAGAAAATCCGAAAATTCTTCTACTTGAAAATCCATGTATTTGTCCCTGCCGGTGAAACGAGCACCAGTGTTGTAAATTTCAAACAGCATGTTTTCCTTGATCCTAATAACACCAGTAGACATTTCCTTTTTTTTGCTGAGTTGAGTACACTTTTTGAGTCACGGTTGATTTAGGAGTTTTGGACTATACGCCAAAAATTTATACAGATCGATCCCTTCTTGCGAAGGTGTACCCGTCACTAGACACAGTAGAATTAATACTTTTTGGAATTATCGCTGCGGTAGCTGCTACTATTGAAAGCAATCTTTGCCATTCGCCGAGATAATGGGATACAGCCAACTCCATTCTTCCGACCAAACGTCATTTTTAAAACAAACGTACGCTGTTAAAACATTTTGAGCACTTAACTGAGACGATTTAATTTAATGATCTTATTTTTATAACACTAAATCAAAGCGGACATTTATTTTGTGGAGGCAGGTTTAAATTGTTTTCCTGCTTATTAAATAACCTATGCCACATAACCAGCGAGTCGTATGATATCACGCCCGAAGTTCATCAACGTTGCTTATTTGCTCGCTTTGCGTTAGTCTGTTTTACATATGCCGGTCGACATAAAATTGCAAATTTTTAAAGCATACCTTTTTATTGTTTTTTCATATAGGAATTTGAGCACATAATCAATGAAATAATAATACAGATTTTCGTAAGGCACACAGGTGTAATCTACCGTTCATATGGAAGGTGCACACATATTAACAATCAAAGGTCGGGATATCTGTAGTTGTTCGATCTTCGAAGTCAAAAATCTGTTTTTGCTTGCCCTTATAGGTGCGCAGTGTGAACCAACCGCGTAATCAATTCGTCAATAAGGTTTATAATCTATAAGGTATTTTAATCCGTGGTGAAAACGCTTGAGCCAAGGTACGCAATATACGCTTCGCTCTCTGCGGCTTGATTATGTAGTAAGTAGTAAGTAGTAAGTAGATTTCCGTCATAAATTGCAATCTCTTTAGTGACGAAACCTACAGCGTCCTTTAGATTAAACCCTTGAATATCTAACGCCACTATCCGCGTGATGACAACCGCCAAAAATGTACTGTTTCGCCGAATATTTTGTGGCAAATTTTTTGAACATATAATTTGCGAGTCTTTTTAAAAACCGTTGAATTTGTTTTACTATTTCAGTTAGATGATTCTAACTAAATACTTCGTCATGTAAAATGAGACAGTAAACCGATGTATCCTTTTGGATATTAGCGCTAGTTTCAAATTCAATTCGCATTACTACAAAACCATTTTGATGAGAACCATCGATGTGTGTAATGGGACATTTTTCTTTGCTACGTGTGAAAATTGCCCCGTGCGATGTTCCGTAATAAGAGTGCCTAAAATTAGCAACCATATCATATAGAGTCGAATACTTGTTTTTTCTTTTAAAATGGTTCCGAATTTAAAAATACTTTTATATTAGTTAAACTGACGTCATCAAATTTTTTTCTAATTTTCTACTTGACCTTTCCTATTATCGTGGATAATGATTTGCGTCTGTAGTTTATTTTTTGTTTCTACGGACCACGTACGAGTTGTGGTTTCAATAATTTCCCAAGATCCATTGTTATCTCTTTATTAGACTCCATGATTTTCGTTAGAGCAAGTTCTTCGGCATTATTTGCCATAAATTTTGGAATTTTCCACCGCGTCTAAATCGTTGCTGGTTCGTATTAAAGCCGGGTGGTGGATATTATGAATCTATCACTGATAAATGCCCGCATTTGTAAGAACTGGACTTTTGTTTTGGTTGAATAATTGTAATATATGAAGAAAGCCTTAGTTTTGTATTTTATATAGCTCACCCAATCAGTTCCCCGTTCAGTTCTCAATATCCAAGTTAAAAAATTCCGCATTCTCTAATTTGATTTTTTTGCTGCAGATTATCACGCATAAAAACGCCTCTGAAATGCTGAATTTTCTCCAAACGAAGAGTGCTTTTGCTTTATTCCTCTGCCAAGTCTTATCCTTTAAGATCTTGTGTGGTTCGTGTCTCCTCGTTAAATCGTTAGACTGAGAATATGCTATATCGTGCTCTTTACAGCAGCAGAATCACCTTTATTTATTCTCTTTTGTAAATGGGTACCCAATTCGCTGAATAGGCGACCATTATTACTATACAGTTCGATAGTAAGTTTGTTTATAAGTTTATTTACCAATCCTGAACCTTTCGACCCGTTTCGATGTACAATAATCAGAGTGTTAGGAAATAGTGTTTCTAAATATTTAGGTATTATGCTATAAATACTTTTGCAGGTTCCTGTTAATGTCTCAGTCGAAATGTGAGTAAAAAAGCAAGCCTTTTCTTTGCCCGTAAAAAACGACGACGCAAAAAGTTCGAGCTGCGAATTTGAAAAGCACCCCCATCACTTTAGAGGTAATTGCAACAGGGCACTTAAATTCGGGTAAAACCAATGTCATATTTGGTCGAACATCCTGGAATGCAAATAGATTTGAAAACGTTGACTTATATTCCAAATCCCCGTAACAGCCAAAATACGTGTATTTGAGAGAACTGCTAAAGCCTTTACAAGAGATAGCATGATTATATAGCATCGACTAAAGTCATGGCTAACCGATGCAAAAAATCGAGAAGTTCTTTTAGAGATTTTTTCAAATTGAAAATGACTACTGATTCGTATTCAGGACTACCTAGAAGTAACTAAACCAATGACCAAAGGTTTTAATGTTTTAAAAAAATAGGTAAACCTTGTAAATAACAAATAGAAATTTTAATTACACAAAGTCCAAAAATATTGTTAAAAAAGACTTTTCAAGAGACATTCATTTTGAGGTATCATCTGAAAACAACAAAGTTAATAAATCTTAGTATTCGAAAGGTATAATGTAATCAAAATTAAAATATAAATTAGCGAATGAACTTGACAGTCGAATGTTCGCTTCTCCATGGCAAACTTTTACAAAGGAAACAGTATGCCGACGTCAATAAATTTTGATATTTCAATATTTCAAACACCCCGTAATGAAACATTATTAAAATTGGTATAGTTGGATTCTAAGTACTACTGAATAAGAATTCCTTGCCATAGAGAGTACTTCCTCAGATATTCGAGAGAGATGGAGAAAAGGAGAGAAATCACGGAACTTCGTGCATAAAGTCACACGCCCAATGATATTAGCGGTACGAATTTGTTTTGGGAACGAATTATTCATTTAAAGAAAATATGCACATATTTATGCTGGATTAAATTAATTCTTTATTGATAAAAGGAATATTTTTAAGGAGACTATTTATTACGAAGTGAGTATTTTAAAGATTAGTAATAACAACTAAATAATGCGACTTAAATTACGACTTTTCTTAACCTGGCAGCACTGCCGTAGACGTCAGAGCAAATCAGGTGTTTGTCGATGAGGCAAGAAAAAAAATTGCTTAGAATTTGAAACGTAAGCACGGAAGTACTGGACCGTATTTCACTATAAAACTCTGGTCAAGTGAACATGAATGATTGAAATATAAACACTAATCTACCAGGATAACTGTCCCAAGGAAAAATATGAATTAGCCCTAGAAATTAGTCTGTTGATCAACCGAAATGTAAGCAATATTTAAGGAATTATTTCCCTATATTTTCGTCACCTATTCCTCCAGGAACATGTACGAACAATTAATGGATGGTAACAAATACAACTGGATAGCATTTTTATGTGCTAAATCGTTTCTTCGAAATTTATCAAGATTTTAAAATTATGCTCGGAAAAAATTGTGGAGAAGTTCATTTAAAATAGTCATATTTAAAGATACATGCGTGGGAATTAAGTTTTCTGGTTTATTTGTGGGACCTCGGTAAGATTTAGGCTTTCATTTAACTTCAGGTTGAAAGTCATCAGCGGACGGACGAGTCGGCGGTTCCAGCGGTACAACGTATTCTGTGTTATCTTGCTGATAATAGTTGCTACAATGTGATTTATAGTCTCGGTAATATGATATTGATTTAATTGATTTTATCGATTGGTTTCAGAGTTGCACAACTCATCGGCTTCCATATTTTGCAGCTTTTGAGATGTACTTGGCACATGATTGTTTTAAAGATTATTTTGTTTATTAAATTATGGTATGCCACTGTTTTGTGTAGAAACCAACATGGGTGGAGGAAGACTTTTTGGTGGCTGGGCCTGAAAACGATTAGCGGTTTACGAAAAGCATAAGAATTTGTCTATAACGTGGCTTACTATTGATTGGACCGGTGGCAAACGGCTGTTGCTGTTGCCTAAAATTATTTCGGTTATGCCTATTTTTGACAGGGTACCAAGTTACTTACGTCTAATTGTTGTTTCCAAAGGTTCTTTTAAACCTGATAAAAATGTTTTCAGAGCAAATGGGTTATGGAGTTAACGTTTTATTTTTTTTGCTTCACTCCTCGTTTCATGTGTATCAATAATATAATATATAATATACCCAGATTTAGAATTTGTCATGCTTATAGGAATTGCTACCAGGTTGAATAGTTTCTAAATTTAAAGAAAAACAATTTTTCTGACATGAGCTTACATTAACCGATAGCAAATGTTTCAAGATTATCAATTAATTTTTGGAAATACTGCCTGGAGGGCGCCAATTGGTTAGGGAGGGTTAGAGACCATTGCCTTTTTAAAAAATATATTTAAATTTACAAGATGTTCGTTACAATAATATATCTTAACTCATTCTTCGAATAATGAAAAATAGAGTTTTTATATTATATTTAAAAAATAGATAGAAAAAATAAGTTGTGTTGCTAAAGTAATATTAATTCTAGAAATAACTCGAATCTTAGTTTTCACTCATCCCAATGAAGGTATGAATTCATTCTATTGGCCAATTCATGTAATACGATCTTGATCAATCCTGGCGAAATTTTCTGGTATTTTTTTGAAATTATCCTCTCTAAATATTGAACATCTTGACACGGCCCTCGCTGACAAATGGTTCATTAAAGTAGGGTGGTAAGTTCATCTGAACTATCAGGTCAAAAAAGATAAGAATATCTGTGAATAGCGCTTCCATCGATCATACGTTCAAAATATTCCATAACATTCAATATACTGTCACATAATTCACCTTGTTTTTTCCAAATAAGTCGCTTTTGTAAAGGTCTATGAATTTATGTGAGTTTAATATTGTGTTACTTGAAGCATTTACAATAGCCCTCGTTTAGATGCACTCCCGGAAGAGCATACAAGTTTGTTTTACCATTTGCTTCCAACCACAATCGCAGGCCGCTAAGTTTTGTATGGTCGGTACCCACAGTTCCTTTGAACTGTCCTTGATAGCGGTCATGGTACAGTGGAACTGTCCACCGGGAGAGGTAAGCGTGGAAAACAGTCCTGAAAGAAAACGCCAATCAACAATAATAGCCTAGTGTTTGATCGAACCACTTTAAATTTTATATAAAAATTAAAATAGATAAATTTAATTTATCTATTTTAATTTTTGTCTGTACAAAAATTCGAACTATTGAACGGCATCTTAAAGCCCCATTTAAATAAAAAAATACAAAATAAAGCATTGGGTTAACTATATTTTGTATAAAAAATCCTGCAAAATTCACTCCGAGAGTGTGATTATATATATATATATATATATATATATATATATATATATATATATATATATATATATATATATATATATATATATATATATATATATATATATATATATATATATATATATATATATATATATATATATATATATATATATATATATATATATATATATATATATATATATATACATATATATATTCACGTATTGATTCACGGATGGAAAAATGTGATGACACTATATTCCGGGATATCATCCGTTCGCTCGTTGAACTCCGACTGCTGAAAACTGGGGTGTTCGAAGTGTTTTCGGAGCGCGAGCATTGAAGATGCCAAGTGAGATTTTGGCGAAACGTCTGCAGGATTCCAGTCGGAGTTCAACGAGCGAACGGATGATATCCCGGAATATAGTGTCATCATATATATATATATATATATATATATATATATATATATATATATATATATATATATATATATATATATATATATATATATATATATATATATATATATATATATATATATGATGACACTATACTCCGGGATATCATCCGTTCGCTCGTTGAACTCCGACTGGAATCCTGCAGACGTTTCGCCAAAATCTCACTTGGCATCTTAAATGCTCGCGCTCCGAAAACACTTCGAACACTCGGAGCGCGAGCATTTAAGATGCCAAGTGAGATTTTGGCGAAACGTCTGCAGGATTCCAGTCGGATGCAGGATTTGCAGGATTCCAGTCGGATGCAGGATTCCAGTCGGAGTTCAACGAGCGAACGGATGATATCCCGGAGTATAGTGTCATCACATTTTTCCATCCGTGAATCAATACGTGAGAATATATATATATATATATATATATATATATATATATATATATATATATATATATATATATATATATATACAAAACGGTAGTCGTGACCGGCTAGTTGAACAACAAATTTTAGTTAATTGGGGTATCGGTCCTGATGAGGGCTCAAATAAAAGGCTTTTGTGCTACACCAAGCTTTCGAAAATGTTTATTTTCTTCTTCAGGGGCTACAATATGAAAGCGGCTCTTAGTTATTTAATACTAAAGTCTTCTAGTTAAAGTACTTACTGCTACAGTGCCATTATAGGCCAACACCAAACTCATCCGGATAACAGAAAGAATCAAATACGACCGTTAATTATTATAACAGAGGGCAGCCATCTAGACGAAATTGTTGTTACATTTTATTTAAACGAATTTTACTTCAAACGCAAAACGCAAATGATGGAAAAGTTTTATTAATATGCCTACCGCCAGCCGTCCAGTTTTTTTTCTTTTTTTTTTTTTTCTTTTTTTTTTCCCTTCTTTTTTTTCCCTTTGTTACCTCCTTTTTGTTTACAAGGCACCTAATGTATAGAGGCTTGGGACTATTTTTCTAAATTATAATTACATTGTGACGACACTATTATCAGCAAACGCAATTCGATTGACGGTTGGTTGTAAAGTTAAGACATTAGAGTAGATCACACTGAGGCCATCAATGTCAGATCTTTTATTGACCGATTTCGGTTCCAAGAAGATCTCCACCATTTCCAAAATTGCTCTTTTGTTGTAGTTGCTTTCTTTATGGAGAATTTTTGTTTCAACAAAGTTAACATCGTGATCCATTTGGTTAGAGTGTGTTGCTAATGAACAGGTGTTCTTATTGAGTCTGCAATCACTCTTGTGTGACGTAATTCTATCCTTAAGTACTCGCGATGTCTGTCCTATGTATACCTGATCACACTGATTACAAGGGATGCTATAAATTACTTCTGAATTCTTTTGTACCTCATCCTTATCTTTTAGTTTGCTAAAGACACTCCCCAATGTGTTTTTGTTTGTTTATATGCTATCTTAATATTTGTTTGTGCTCTCAGAATTTTTGTGAGTGTGGTCGTTAATTCTTTAATGTATGGCAATGAAAAATAAAAACATCTCAGATCGTCCATTTCTGGGCTATCTGAGTGGACGACCGTGTTCCGCGGGTTTGGAGCTCTTAGTGGGGTCGTGCTATATAACAATTTTTTAGTTAACCTACTTGGGTATGAGTTGTTAATCAGCATGTCGTAAAGCTTATTAAGATTTTTTTGTCTTAGTGATGGGTGAGAAATCCTCTCTATTCGTGTCTTTAATGCTATGACCAAATTTATTTTTGTTTTCGTTGTATGGTAAGAGTGGAAATTCATATATCTCCTCGAACTGGTCGGTTTTATGTACCAATCTAATATAATTTTGTTATCGTTGTTCCGGATCACTTTAGTGTCCAGAAATGGTACGCTTTTATCAATTTCCTCCTCTACTGTAAATTGTATGTGTGCATCATAGCTGTTAAACACTGTGAGAGTTTCCCTCACGCAACTTTCAGGTATGGAAGTAATTATATCATCCACATATTTTTTCAGAAATGGTAACTGAAACGACAGCTTATCTACGCACACCTCAAGTAGGTCATCCATAACGTATTGAGCTAATATTGGAGAAATGATGGCACCCATCGGTGTACCTAATTTTTGTTTGTAAAATTCATTGTTAAATCTAAAATACGTTGTATCAAAGACAAACTGAAGTATCTTTAGGAAACTAATTTGTGACAAATCAGTGTGGTTTCTAATTCTGTTCCAATGTTTTTTTATACTTTTTTCTACCAAATTATATGGAATATTACTAAATAAAGAGACGACATCCAAGCTCACAAGAACATACTTATTAGGTAATTGTTTGTCATTGATAAATGAAGAAAACTCAAATGAATCACCTGTGAAATAATCATTATTCTTATTATATGCTTTGGTTAAAACCTGAGTCAACAATGAAGCCAGTTTACTGTTCGGAGCATTAATTGATGAAATTATCGGCCTTAAGGACAATTGGGGTTTATGTATTTTGGGTAAGCCATAAAATTTAGGACAAGTTTGATTATATATATTTAAAGTTTTGGCTACCTCATTTGTTAATTGTTTTTGATCTTTTAATGATTTGACAAGTTTGTTCGCTTTTTGTTGGTAAGTAGATGTAGGATCACATCTGAGACGCTCGTAATAGGTCCGATCCATCAGAATTTCGTTTGATTTTTGAATGTATGTATCTTTAGACATAATAACTGTCACATTCCCTTTATCGGCCCTAGAAACGACCAACTCAGCGTGATCCTTAAAAAATTTTTTTGTCTTTTTTAACAAAATGTCTATATAGCTACGCTTTGCCGGTTGTTTTAAAAAATTAGTCAATACATTAGTAAACTTAGCTCTTACAGTATTTTTTGCGTTCTCTGGTACAGCTTTAATTATAGTTTCTACATCAGCAATTAAACGTTTGACTGAGATTTCATTGCATCTTGGTGGCACGGAAAATTTCTCACCCATCACTAAGACAAAAAAATCTTAATAAGCTTTACGACATGCTGATTAACAACTCATACCCAAGTAGGTTAACTAAAAAATTGTTATATAGCACGACCCCACTAAGAGCTCCAAACCCGCGGAACACGGTCGTCCACTCAGATAGCCCAGAAATGGACGATCTGAGATGTTTTTATTTTTCATTGCCATACATTAAAGAATTAACGACCACACTCACAAAAATTCTGAGAGCACAAACAAATATTAAGATAGCATATAAACAAACAAAAACATTGGGGAGTGTCTTTAGCAAACTAAAAGATAAGGATGAGGTACAAAAGAATTCAGAAGTAATTTATAGCATCCCTTGTAATCAGTGTGATCAGGTATACATAGGACAGACATCGCGAGTACTTAAGGATAGAATTACGTCACACAAGAGTGATTGCAGACTCAATAAGAACACCTGTTCATTAGCAACACACTCTAACCAAATGGATCACGATGTTAACTTTGTTGAAACAAAAATTCTCCATAAAGAAAGCAACTACAACAAAAGAGCAATTTTGGAAATGGTGGAGATCTTCTTGGAACCGAAATCGGTCAATAAAAGATCTGACATTGATGGCCTCAGTGTGATCTACTCTAATGTCTTAACTTTACAACCAACCGTCAATCGAATTGCGTTTGCTGATAATAGTGTCGTCACAATGTAATTATAATTTAGAAAAATAGTCCCAAGCCTCTATACATTAGGTGCCTTGTAAACAAAAAGGAGGTAACAAAGGGAAAAAAAAGAAGGGAAAAAAGAAAAAAAAAGAAAAAAAAACTGGACGGCTGGCGGTAGGCATATTAATAAAACTTTTCCATCATTTGCGTTTTGCGTTTGAAGTAAAATTCGTTTAAATAAAATGTAACAACAATTTCGTCTAGATGGCTGCCCTCGGTTATAATAATTAACGGTCGTATTTGATTCTTTCTGTTATACGGATGAGTTTGGTGTTGGCCTATAATGGCACTGTAGCAGTAAGTACTTTAACTAGAAGACTTTAGTATTAAATAACTAAGAGCCGCTTTCATATTGTAGCCCCTGAAGAAGAAAATAAACATTTTCGAAAGCTTGGTGTAGCACAAAAGCCTTTTATTTGAGCCCTCATCAGGACCGATACCCCAATTAACTAAAATTTGTTATATATATATATATATATATATATATATATATATATATATATATATATATATATATATATATATATATATATATATGTCACTCTCTCGGAGTGAATTTTGCAGAATTTTTTATATAAAATATAGTTAACCCAATGCTTTATTTTGTATTCTTTTATTTAAATGGGGCTTTAAGATGCCGTTCAATAGTTCGAATTTTACCTATGGAACTGTACAGACAAAAATTAAAATAGATAAATTAAAATCAGTGGGAAATGATTTTCTCAAAAGTGCAACCCCACCCCAGGAACGCCTAAATTCCTTGCTTTGCTAGAGTCCAATACCTCTGATTTTATTTAAAAACAATTACCGATTGTAACGGTGTTTGCTTGTGATATAGTAGAAAACGTTCCGCTCCCGCAGTAATTATGTGCGTTTCGAAGAGTCTGACCGGTTGACGTTATAGCCAACTTGTCAGCGTGACAATTTGAAGACTGCAACAAAAATAGTACTAATTTAAAGAAATCTGAAATTTTCTATTGATTATTGCCCTACAAAGTTGCAGTTGTCATTAGAAGATTTTTTTGTTGAAAACGAAAGATTATTTTTTGATAAATTTGTTGTTACCAACCTTGGGCAATAAGACATCGGTACAGGACAAGACAATTTTGGTACCGATATCACTTTTCACCACCCATCTACACGATGAACCTCGGCTGTAGTTTTGAGGGTACTCTTTGTTATGGATGTAGTACTCCTTCCCGATTATCATTTCCTGATACATGTCGCAGTTCGGATCGACTGCTGCGTACATTGGCACCAGAAGATTCCATAATGCTACCAGGACTGTTGCGCTGGATGAGAAACTTCCTGAAAAATCAAACGTTATCAGAAAGTGGGCAATACAACAATTGTAAAGATGGGTATGCAGAATTTAAAATTATTTTAAAGTCTAAAGGTGGCTCAAAAAGGCGAATAAACACAATTTTTTTAAGTGGAATTCCCCATTTATTATTTTTTTAATTCCTTTTAATTTCTTTTTTATTAATAACAAAACACGCCTAAACCTAATAGTTTTTCCAATATTTAAATTTTTCTAAAAAAATACTATTTATCACACACACCAAAAAAACGACGATAGCGCCAATATGTTAAATTTTATTTGATATTCCATGATTTAAAATATATTGCCATAGATTGTGAATTAGATGCTACTCAACATAAATGAATATCTCGATTTTTTTAAATGGAACATAGTACATATATATTATTTTTTCTTAAAAATCTTACAAAAATCTCCAACTTTTATTAAGCATGTCATATATCTATTTTAATGCTTTGCGATTTATATTTACTATTTCTTTCCTTCTATCTAAGACTATCCCTATAAAATTAATAGGGCATGACACAATGACATCAAATTTTTACCTGACAATTGGTAAAATTTATTGTGGTGTAGTTAATTACAAAAAAATAAGTATAGACTTTCCTACCGCTGTGAGACTTTACAAGCCGCATAAGCGCAAAGCGATAAACCGGAATGCTACCAATGAGGAAAAAGAATTGGATAATTTACTTCAAGTTCAAGATAATCTCCAGGTAAGTTTAGTAGCCGTCAAGTAGATGTGATACATCCCAATCGAAGGTTATTCGTACCACTAGGAAGTACAAATATTATCTCTTCCATATGGAACGCAACAAGACCTTCTAGACCATGATTCTGAAAAAGACTATACTTCTGCATCGTGATAAATGAAACAATAGAGGTCGATACAAATGTTTTATCTAAGATAATGTTTTCCGATGAAGCTACTTTTTGCAGTAACGGTGCAACTAAAATAACCAAAACTAACCAAAACCATTTGATGTGTAGTGTGGAATAAAAGAGTTTTAAGTTATTGGACCATATGTTTTTCGCGGATCACTTAATTTTACCCAAGTTAAAATATATCTAAAAGTATTAAAAGTAGGTAATGTAATGTAGTCTTTTCAGAAAAAATAATAATATTAATTTCTTCTTCTCCTCTCTTCGAATAACGCTAATATATAACAGATTTGTGAGTGATGAAAAATTAAAATATTGAGAAAACTATTAGGCTTAGGTATATGTTATTATTAATAAAACAGTTGATGATTTTCAAGGCGAATTTAAAACAAAATAAAACATTTTACTCTGTACCTGCTTATATATTGTTTGAGGGGGGCGCAGCTAATTGAGGGCCATAAGCACCGTCTCGGATGACAGATTCATATATATTGGTAACAGGTAAAGACCTGAGTCGCGGTTAAGATTGTTAGGATGTTTATGGATTTCTATAGACTCTCGGATTTTTCGTTGGTAGAAGAATTGATTTACATGCAAGAATTTTAGTTTTATCGAATAACATTTTATGTCCGGTTTCGTGATTGTGTTCAACTGCAACTGCTGATGAGTTTATTTGTATTAGCCTTAAGGCTCTTTCATGTTCTTTGAGTCTAGTTGATACTTTTCGTCCGGTCACTCCAGTGTATTCTTTTCCGCACTCCTGGTATCTCAAATGTTGAGAGTTTTTTGGACAAGTGGTAACTCGGGTTTTGACATTATATTTCCTTAGAACTTTTGATATGTGGTCAGTGATATTTTGAATGTAAGGAAGGACCGCAGTGGCAAGTGTAGGGTTGCTTTCGGCCTCATTGCTATTGGAAGGTTGCGGTGAAGTGTATTTTGTGATGGAACGCTTAACATCTTTAATGTGGACATTATTATTGAGGAGAGCAGAGGTAAGTTGTTTTAATTCTGAATTCAGTGACTAGGGGGCTGAGACGAGTTTTATGGCTCTGTAAACAAGAGAGTTGATAACCATGCAATGCATTAAGGTATCGGTCTGTGTGCGTAGGTTTTCTGTAAAGACAATGACCTAATGTCTGATTTCCTATAGATAAGCATATCTAAGAATGGTAGGTTATTATTAGTTTCCAACTCAATGGTAAAACATAAGTCGGGGTGTATAGAGTTTAAATGTCTAAAAAAATCTACTAGGGGGTCAAATACCAAAAGCATCATCGATGTAACGTTTCCATAATTTTGGCTTTAGATTAAAGGGTGTCGAGAACTTTCTTCTCAAAGGCTTCCATATATATATATATATATATATATATATATATATATATATATATATATATATATATATATATATATATATATATTGGCGATCATTGGTGATAGTGGAGAACCCATAGGTGTTCCCAACGTTTGTTCAAAAATTTGACCGTTATAAGAAAAATATGTTCCCGACAAGCATTTTTCAATTAAGGTGAGAAGGTTTGGTTCCAGATTCTCGGACTTTAATATATATGAAATGATGTCGAGAGTTTCAGTAATTGGGACTTTGGTAAACGTCGAAAGTAACCAGAATATCTTGTGGATCTAATGTAATAGTTTTTAATTGTTCAATGAAGTGAAAGGAATTAAGTACGAAACTATCAGTTTTCCCTGTAAAGGATTTTAATAAGGAAGCTAGATATTGTGCTAGAGAATATGTTGGAGAACCGGTGGTGCTCACAATAGGATTATAGGGCAATGCGTTCAGGCTTTGCAATATTAGATTTAGGAAGTTTTTTGAAACGGACACTTGAAATGATTTCCTTTTTCGGGATAATACGTGAGGCATTGATGAACTTGGAACTTTTTGAAAGAATTGATTTTTATACAGTGACACATTTATTACAGTGTTTGGTAGCTGAGAACAGCTTGATGGTTTTCCTAGTGTTGACGTTAGTTTTTCAATTTTCTGAATGTGATTTTGGGTAGAAGATAAACGAAGATTTAAAGCTTTGTCATGAATCATGTTTGAAAGTGTATCGAACTCGAATGGGGACAAGATAGAAGCAATTTCAAGGTGTAGAGACAGAAGTTTCTTTGAAAAATTAAGGAGTTCTAAAATTTCTCGAACAAAAGAGGTGCTACCCGTATTATTTCACTATTTTACAGAAATAGATACCTTTTCAGGAAAGTTCATATAAACGTGTATTGTGTATCAAAATGTTTCATTATTAAGATAGCAAAGGTTTAAATTTTTTTTTTATTATGTCAAAGATAGTTAAAATCCTCAACTGTGAACAAGTTAGAGTAAATCGCATTTGGATCACTAAAGGTAAAAAGGAAATAATAGTCCTTTATTATATATTATATTTAGAGAAAAAGGAAAATCTGTGAACCCCTTAACTGGTACTTCAAAACTATTCCTCTAACTCCCAGGCGTGAATAAGTGCGTTTTTACACATTGTATTTTTATGAATATCTATTTTTTGGGCTCTTTGATATATATGAATTCTAGTTCTAAAAAAATAATCTTTCGGACTTACCTTGTATAAAAAACATATCGAAAGTAGAAACACGGCAGCTGCAAACCGATCGATAATATATTATTATATTATAATGATTTTTTTTAATGTTTGAAAGGAATTTTATCTATTCAGAATCACTTCAAATTCACGACAAACATAAAATAAACTTTTCACAATTAATTGATGAAATGAGCCGTTAAGTAACTTCTAAAAGGCAAAAAAAATGAATTAACTTTCTTATGGTGTGCTTAAGAATAATACATTCTACACAACACTAAACTTTACGATAGTTGTGCGACTTTCAAAACGTTATCAAATTGCTGCTATCGCATTTCATTTAATTGTTGATCATTATTTTTGCAAATTCGATTATAGGAAACAATACCCTTTTACCGCTATCCACATGCTTCAAATCTAAGTTCGTTATTAAACTTATGTTATCGTGCTATCGTCTATAGCTAGTGGCTTATAATATGTAGTTATTGAAGTCAAAACAATGAAATTAAATGCAAAATCTAAAAAAAAAATTAACTTATTTTGAATTTTTAATGCCTGGCCGTCAATAGTAGATTCATTAGAATGCCCCCCTCCCCCATATGTTTAAGTTTATAGCCTCTAACTGCTGACTCTGTATATGTATCAAAAAAAGTGTCGAAGAAAAGTAAGTTGAATAACGACTTATTGTTCTTTCATGGGAGCGTATCTGTTTTACTGATCTGTGGTGGGCTTCCGTAAATTTAGCTCATATATAGTCGATGTCAGCATAAGCAATACCCAAATAATGCGCATATTTCTGGCAATTCTGTGCGACTCAAATGAAAGTTTGGGCACCTTTTTAAATAAAATAACTGTCTATGTGCTAGATAAAAATATTAAGTTCCAAAAATTAAAAATTTTCCTCTTATACCATAAGAACGGGCTGCACATAATTGTGCAAAATGATGAGGTTGTTATGGTACAAAAATATATAAATTTAGTTGGAAACGGCGAGGAAATTTTGAATTTTTGGAACGTCATATTTTTTCCCAGAAAAGTGCACAAAATTACCAACGTTCAGATGATATTAGAAAGTTTTAATTTGATTGTATTTAATTTAATGTTTATAATCAAATTTTC